CTAACCGCCCTGGTGTCTGGCTGCGCGTAACCAGCAGCCAGGCGATTTGCCTCAACCTCCCACCCCGCCATAAACGTCTCCCCCTTACTCTCACAGATATTGTGGAGTACACAGCAAGCAGTAATAACAGTGGGAATATTGGTTTTGCTGAGGTCTAAGCGAGTCAGTAAACTGCGCCAGCGCGCCTTTAAACATCCAAATGCACATTCTACCACCATTCTGCACTTGCTCAGCCTGTAGTTGAACAGCTCCTGACTACTGTCCAGGCTGCCTGTGTACGGCTTCATGAGCCATGGCATTAAGGGGTAGGCTGGGTCCCCAAGGATACATATAGGCATTTCAACATCCCCAACAGTTATTTTCTGGTCTGGGAATAAAGTCCCTTCCTGCAGCTTTTGAAACAGACCAGAGTTCCTGAAGATGCGAGCGTCATGCACCTTTCCCGGCCATCCCACGTTGATGTTGGTGAAACGTCCCTTGTGATCCACCAGAGCTTGCAGCACTATCGAAAAGTACCCCTTGCGGTTTATGTACTCGGCGGCTTGGTGCTCCGGTGCCAAGATAGGGATATGGGTTCCGTCTATGGCCCCACCACAGTTAGGGAATCCCATTGCAGCAAAGCCATCCACTATGACCTGCACATTTCCCAGGGTCACTACCCTTGATATCAGCAGATCTTTGATTGCGTGGGCTACTTGCATCACAGCAGCCCCCACAGTAGATTTGCCCACTCCAAATTGATTCCCAACTGACCGGTAGCTGTCTGGCGTTGCAAGCTTCCACAGGGCTATCGCCACTCGCTTCTCAACTGTGAGGGCTGCTCTCATCTTGGTATTCATGCGCTTCAGGGCAGGGGAAAGCAAGTCACAAAGTTCCATGAAAGTGCCCTTACGCATGCGAAAGTTTCGCAGCCACTGGGAATCGTCCCAGACCTGCAACACTATGCGGTCCCACCAGTCTGTGCTTGTTTCCCGAGCCCAGAATCGGCGTTCCACAGCATGAACCTGCCCCATTAGCACCATGATGCATGCATTGTCAGGGCCCATGCTTTCAGAGAAATCTGTGTCCATGTCCTGATCACTCACGTGACCGCGCTGACGTCGCCTCCTCACCCGGTATCGCTTTGCCAGGTTCTGGTGCTGCATATACTGCTGGATAATGCGTGTGGTGTTTAATGTGCTCCTAATTGCCAAAGTGAGCTGAGCGGCCTCCATGCTTGCCTTGGTATGGCGTCCGCACAGAAAAAAGGCGCGGAACGATTGTCTGCCGTTGCTCTGACGGAGGGAGGGGCGACTGACGACACGGCTTACAGGGTTGGCTTCAGGGAGCTAAAATCAACAAAGGGGGTGCCTGTACATCAAGAAGTATTTCAGGCAGGACTTCACGGAGGGTTCCAATAAGAAATGGTGCACCTAAGTTATTGTTCTTATTGGAACAAGGAGGTTAGCCTGGCCTCTGACTGATACATGCCTAGATTTACCTCTCTGCACCTTCTCTGTGAGTGACTGCAGTGTGACCTAGAGGAATGAGTCCCCTAGACAGGGGAGGAGGCAAATGAGTACAAAACAAATCTGGTCTATTTCTTGTTTTGACCCACTCCATCTATCTTTTACATCTTTGGCTGGCAGCAGACGGTGCAGAAGGACTGCATGCCATCCACATCTCATGGCTGCTCGGCAGAAGATGGTACAGTACGACTGCTAGCCATCCCCATCTCTTGCCTGCCTGGCAGAAGATGGTACAGTACGACTGCTAGCAATCCTCATCTCTTGCCTGCCTGGCAGAAGATGGTACAGTACGACTGCTAGCAGTCCGTATCGCCTGCCCGCTCACCATAAGATGGTTCAATAGGACTGACTGCAGGACTAAAGAGAATGACCTGGTCAAGTCACTCCAAATTTAGTCCCTGCGCCCATGTCTGCCCAGGCGCTCCCAGCCGACGTGGCCAGGAGCACCTCGGACACGACGAGGACGACTACCAATCGTATTGCACCGTCTGCTGCCAGAAGGCAATGGGTTGCTGCTACTGTGCAGCAAAGCCGTACCGCGTCTGCCAGCACCCAGGAGACATAGGGTGACGGTTACCTGAGCGGGCTCCATGCTTGCCGTGGTATGGCGTCTGCACAGGTAACTCAGGAAAAAAGGCGCGAAATGATTGTCTGCCCTTGATTTCACGGAGGGAGGGAGGGAACGGGGGCCTGACGATACGTACCCAGAACCACCCGCGACAATGTTTTAGCCCCATCAGAGTGCTCCATTGTGACTGCTCTGGACAGCACTCTCAGATGCCCGATTGTTTGCCGTTGCTCTGACGCCGGGAGGGGCGCTTACAGGGTTGGCTTCAGGGAGCTAAAATCAACAAAGGGGGTGGCTTTACATCTAGGAGTATTTCAGGCAGGACTTCACGGAGGGTTCCCATAAGAAATGGTGCACCTAAGTTATTGTCCTTATTGGAACAAGAAGGTTAGCCTGGCCTCTGATTGATACATGGCTAGATTTACCTCGCTGCACCTTCTCTGTGAGTGACTGCAGTGTGATCTAGAAGAATGAGTCCCCTAGACAGGGGAGGGGGGGAAGCAAATGAGTACAAAACAAATCTGGTCTATTTCTTGTTTTGATCCACTCCATCTATCTTTTACATCTTTGGCTGGCAGCAGACGGTGCAGAAGGACTGCATGCCATCCACATCTCATGGCTGCTCGGCAGAAGATGGTACAGTACGACTGCTGGCAGTCCGTATCGCCTGCCCGCTCACCATAAGACGGTTCAATAGGACTGACTGCAGGCAGGACTAAAGAGAATGACCTGGTCAAGTCACTCCAAATTTAGTCCCTGCACCCATGTCTGCCCAGGAGCTCCCAGCTGACGTGGCCAGGAGCACCTCGGACACGACGAGGACGACTACCAATCGTATTGCACCGTCTGCTGCCAGAAGGCAATGGGTTGCTGCTACTGTGTAGCAATGCCGTACCGCGTCTGCCAGCACCCAGGAGACATAGGGTGACGGTTACCTGAGCGGGCTCCATGCTTGCCGTGGTATGGCGTCTGCACAGGTAACTCAGGAAAAAAGGCGCGAAATGATTGTCTGCCCTTCCTTTCACGGAGGGAGGGAGGGAACGGGGGCCTGACGATATATACCCAGAACCACCCGCGACAATGTTTTAGCCCCATCAGGCATTGGGATCTCAACCCAGAATTCCAATGGGCAGCGGAGACTGCGGGAACTGTGGGATAGCTACCCACAGTGCAACGCTCCGGAAGTCGACTCTAGCCTCAGAACTGTGGAAGCGCTCCGCCGAGTTAATGCACTTAATGCACTTAGAGCATTTTCTGTGGGGACACACACACTCGAATATATAAAACCGATTTCTAAAAAACCGACTTCTATAAATTCGACCTTATTCCGTTGTGTAGACATACCCTAAAAATGGCATGGAGGGGCTAGCCATTGTTTCTAGATAAATGTGGATCAGATCTGCTCAGTTTTCAAGGTGGCTTTACCCTGTCGTCTAAACTTTTATGGTGCCTGCTACTGACATAAGAGATTGTGTGTTATCATTCTAACGTAAGCATTTATAACTCTTCATCTAAATCATATGACCCCAGGACAGTCAAGAGTAGTAGGAGCTCCTTAATACCACAATATGTACCAACAACTTCTCTTAATTCATCAGTATCTCTTCCTGTAGAACCCAGTGTTTTTCCTTGGAGAAGTCTCCCTTTTAAATACTGTCTTGATCCCACTAGGTTTAGCTTGTTGGAGCAAATGAAGTCACAGCCCAAAAACTTGTTTATTTATGAGTGTTTGCCAAAAGGTGTTGAAACTTTAAAAAAAATCAGAGGTTACACATACTAAGCTGTATCTCATTGTCTGATCATATGTGTAAAGTTACCTGCGTAACTTCAGTTTCCTAGGCGGGTAACTGTGTTTTTATTCAACTGTCAGTTTTAGAAATATTTGCCTTACTTGTAACAGAGTTCAAAAACACCCAAATTTCTGAAACAGAGGTTTTTTAATCTTGTTCCCTCCCCAGAGAGAGAGAGAAGAGACAAATTTTGGAAATGAGGGAGAAGTATCAGCTAAAATGACAGGATCTTTTTGGACCTTAGTTTCTTTACCAAAAATGTATTGTGGCTAATGACACTTGTGCATTTCCTGAGAATTTGTTCTTTTTATCCACTAACAAGGGTCAGCTTCATAGCCACTAACCACCAGCTGAGAACTGGGCAGATCTCCTATTGCATCCTGTCAATTTTGCCACTCCTTAAATCAACCTAGAGGGGTAACTGCTGAGCAACACAAAGCTCTCACAGCTCTCCCCCTCCCTCCTCAGGGGCAACTGCTCTGTACTCAGAGTAGCTGTTGAGCAATGTACCCCTCCTCCCTGCAGGCTGAAGCAAGCAGTGAGCTCCATAGTGCTTTTGGTGCCCTGTTAATCCAGATTGCAGCTAGATGGGTCCAAGTAAGACGCTGTGTCATTGCAGAGTACCACTGATTGGCTACCTGGCTAGGCCATGACAGTCTACTTTAATTTTACATTAATACAAAATTAACTGTACTATCCATGGATATTAGTAAACAAGACTTCCAATGTAGAAATGAAAGCAGCTGTAAACTAGCTCCAAGCAGGCATATCAGTAAATAAGTGAAGATGTTATTTGGACAGGCTGTTAGAGGAGCCCTGATTATCTGCAGGCATCAATACCATTGGGACTCCTGAGAAAAATTACATTTTGTTGGAATGGAAAATGGTGTAACTAAGATGATTGAACTTTTTATTATGGAGCCCATTCAAGGGAATAAATGAAAAGAGCTGCTTTCCCAGGTGTAGTGTTATGTCTGATCATGGTTTAATGATAAAAATTGGGAATCATTTCTTTTTGGTCTTCTAGCATATTGAAATTCTTTTTTTTATTTTTATTTTGTTTTAGAAAAGATTATAGACTTCTTTGGGAATTTCATCTGCTGCATAAACATATAGTTGTTTTTTCTTTTTCAGTGACTCTAACCAATCCTGTAGAACAAGGTAGGTGAATTTTATTAAATAGCTTGGCATTTGTCCATAGTTCCAAAAGTGCACAAACATCTACTTAAAAGAAAGCAGTTGAAAATCATTTTTTGTATATTTATGTACATACAGCTCTCAAGAGAAGGAAGGGAAAGGGTATTCGTGCTGAATCTCCAAATAGTAGGATCTTTCAGTTCAGTAACAAGAAAATTTAAAAGCAAACATTTCCATGCTCCAGCAGACTACAAACAATAACTTCTTGTAGAATTCCATTAAACCATCATACTCTTTCAATATTTCCTTCCCCCGATTGCAGATTACCAGGATATGTACAGCATGTATCAAGAGAAGTGTTCTAACCTCTCTCCGTGCTAGTGAAAGGTGCCAACTGGAAGTGGAAACCCTCTGTTTATTCCCAGAACAAGTACAGCACGGGCAAGCTCCCAAAGCACCTTCACACACACTATCCTACTTTTTCTGTAAAAATACTATCTCTAAACAGTAGTTCAGTCCCTGTGGCCCCAATTAATGTTCTTCATTGCTGTATCATTTAATGCCACTTGTAATGGTTTTGTAAAATAGACATCTCTCGACCAAGACCACTAAACTCATTTTCCATAGGCCCCTGGGCAGCCATTGAATGATAATGACTTTCAAACTACAGTCTCTATATGAATTACAACTAGCGGCCTAGGGGTGAAAGGTTTTATGTCCCATTACTAGTTCACCACTGCACTCTCCTTGTTCGCATGCACCTTCTTCAAATTCGTTCAGTAATGTGAAAGTTTATTCTTATGGAAGCAGAAACAGAACTACAAGGTCACCGAATAAATCAGTCAGGAGGAGCAGGCAGGATTAGACAGAGCTACCATTGGCACGTACTGTCAGTGGGTTAAATTCCAACCCTGTGCTATGGGGGTCAATGGGAGTTTTGCCATTTGGTCCTTTGAGTCAGATTCTCTGTCCTGCTCCATCCCTTTTGTGCTACTTTAATGGTACAGAGGAGATGCATTCTGGCACTGTCTCCCCTGCTGGAGATTTCCACAGCATGGGAGAGTGCCCAGCAGGTGTATAGCTGGCATACATAGCTCCCACACAACCCATCCCAGGGGATGGGGAGGAGTAGCAGGTTTACTGATCCTCATCTGGCAGACTGGCCCTTGAGAACCCATGTCAGCCAGAACAGACGAGCAGCTTCCAAGGCAGAGAACTGGAGAGCTGTAACTCACTCCCAGATGGCCCCCTCTTTCAGTGCTGCACCAAGCAGGTTCTCTTTGCAGCAAAGTACTGCCCCCAGTATTTTAAGTGGTCACAAAAGAAATGTAGAAAACATGGCAATAGGTTAATGAGGATCCAGCAAAATGTATCTTATTTTGTAAAGTTTGCCAGTGAACTTAAATCACTGTGCATTTAAGTTCCCTGGACAAAAGTTTGCTCACCCTGATCCTTTTTTCCCAGAGAAGCCCCTCTGTGCCACCTAACCAGCATAACTAAACCTTCAGCAAGAGTTATCTCCTTAAATGCCAGTTTAAGAATGACTGAGTGCTTGCCCTATCCTGCTGGGATACCACAGAATGAGTTAGTGGCTTGTCACTCCCAAATAACTAGCATCCCTTAGTTATGTCTCTTTCATTCTGCCAATGTTCTTTAAAAATATGTGCCCCCAAAAGCAGTACACTGTTTTATCTGAAGTCAGTGGAGTATTTGGATCTGCCCCAGTGGGAGCCATTTCCAGTGTGAATTCCATTACTCCTGAGATGAGTTTCTTATTGCTTAAGGCTACTTTGCACTACCAGAGTAGAAATTCTTTACTGATGTCACTCAGTAAATCCTGGGAAGGAGCAGGGAAAATGTCTTGGAAGGGTTGTGAAGTATTTCTCTGTGAAATAGAGCTTTTAGGACATCTCAACTTCTCAGAATTTTTTCAGTCCACCACATGTGTACATACCATGTATATTATTGGTATGCACAGAGAATCCTACATTACTTCCTAAATTACTATATTCTAGCTCTATATCTATATATAGTGAATGATACACTGGAAAGATCAATAATGCATCTAAATAGGCATTCTATCAACAACAGTGGGCGACATGGATGCTTCAGAGGAAGGTGTAATCTCATATTGCATAGAATTGTGCAAAAAAGCTATCTGAAGAAGGTTGATCTTGTGGATAAGAAACAAGACCAGAAATCAGGGGACCTGAGTTCTGTTCCCAGCTCTGCAATAGATTTTTTTTTTGAGTTTATTTTAATTTGTGTGCACGCCTAAAGGCAGTGTGATGAGCACACTTCAAATAAATAAACTTAAGATAACAATAACGTACCCTCCCCGAGTGGATAACTTATTATTCACATTGAAAGGGCCAAATTTTCAAGTGTGTACTCAGCCTTTACACTAGCTAAATTTCCATAAAATATAAGTAAGGAAACAGGATTTGTCTTGGACTATAGCCTTCTGACTCTTCCTGTGGTGGTCATATTAATTCTGAGTTCAACATGATCAGGAAAAGCACATATTTGCATCTATTTAAGTGACAGACTTAGAAATAAGGCTGTCTCCTGATTGCAGATATAACCAAGAGTGGCGGGTGAACATGCCGTTGGGGGGGAGGCTAGCCCCTGGCCCCTCCCCGTCTACCCGAGGCTCTGCCCCTCCACTTCTGCCCGCTGGAGCCCAGAGCACCACTCCCTCCACAGCACGCCCTCAGCCCCAGCGCTGGGTGGGTGGGCGGCACAGCTGGAGCACCCCTAGCCCCAGAGCACTGGCTGGACGGACGGGCAGTGCAGTGTGGCCCCATCTCCAGCCTGCCTGTCCCAGCGTCTCCACCACAAAAGAGCAGAAAAGAAACTGGAAGCAGGCAGGAGGGGTCTTGGGGGCGGAGCATTGGCAGGGCCACGCCAGGCTGTTTGGGGAGGCACAGCCTTCCCCTGCCTATGCTACCCACTGCCCATGGATATAACTGTAGTTAATATTGTAGTTTTGTTTAAGCATTTAAAAAAAGATCCAAGCGCTTTGCAAAGCTGATGCAGAACTGCCCTTTGCCCTTCTGAGTCTCTTCATATGCCTCATTTCAATATCTCATGTCCTCCCAAATTCTTTCAAGTAAAGAAGTTTGTATATTGAAATAAGATTGCTCCAGGTACCTTGTTTTTCATATGATAATGATATCGCTATGAATTATAACCCTGCCTCACAGCTGTGATCATTTCCTGTTTTGCCTACTTGCTGAAAAGAAATGTTTTCCCATTTTGCTTTGTCACATGAGCTCTGACAGCTGCAGTTGACAGTTCATAAGATATTTGATTTTTCCCGTGATACAAAATTCCATTGGAGCATAATATTTTTAAAATGAAGCACCCTGAATGGTGAAGAGTATAGAGGGACTTCTGCTTATGATTCATTATTCTTTTCTTCTCTTAGTGGCCTACCTCAGCATATTCCATGTCATCTTTGTGCTCTTTGTGTGGACATACTGGAAGTCCGTTTTTACTCTCCCGCTGCAGCCAGATAAAAAGGTAAGGGCCTACGTCTTCACTACCCGCCAGATCGACGGGGGAGCTGCCACGGTCGACTCGCTGCCGTGAAGACGGCCAGGTAAGTCGAACTATGATACTTCAGCTACACGAATAGTGTAGCTGAAGCTGTGTATCTTAGTTCGAAACATACACCCACACCCACACACCCCCCCCCACACCCTAGTGTAGCCCAGGCCTAAGTACTTTTCATCCATGGCAAGCCTAAGACGAAAGTGGAGACAAAGGGAGAATTCAAGAAATCCACCTATACTACTGTGGCCAAGGACAACTGATGAGTCTTCCTGGTTAGATGGAAACATGTCTGTGGCTGTCCATAAAAAAGAGTGCAGTTGAACGGTTCTGAGAATTGTTTAAATTAAGCTGTCTAGGGAGCTTAAAGCAGGCATGATGTTGCTTTACTTTCAAGTGGTTTAGGAGCTAACAGGATTTTAAATGGTTGAGGATAATGGGATTTATTATTATTAATTTACATCTTTTAATGTCTTCGATCCCTAAGCACTTAACCCAGGGGTGGGCAAACTTTTTGGCCCAAGGGCCACATCAGGGTTGCAAAACTGTATGGAGGGCCGGGTAGGGAAGGTTATGCCTCCCCGAACAGCCTGGCCCCGGGCCCCTATCCGCCCCCTCCCACTTCCTGCCCCCTGACTGCCCCTCTCAGAACCTCCAACCCCCCCTGCTCCTTGTCCCCTGACTGCCCCCTCCCGGGACCTCCCACCCCTAACTGCCCCCCTGAGACCCCACCCGTATCCAACTTGCCCCTGCTCCTTGTCCCCTGACAGCCCCCTCCCAGGACCCCTGTCCCCTGACTGCCCCGACCCCTATCCACACACCTGCCCCCTGACAGGCTCCCCTGGGACTCCCACGCCTATCTAACCCTCTCTGTCCCCTGACTGCCCCCCATCCAACCCCCCGCTCTCTTACCATGACGCTCAGAGCAGCAGGAGCTTGCAGCCCCGCCACGTGGCTGGAGCCAGCCATGCTGCCCAGCAGCAGTGGCAGGCCAGAGCGCTGGCGGTGCGGCAAACTGAGGCTGCAGGGGAGGGGGACAGGAGGGGTGGGGCCGGGGGCTAGCCTCCCCAGCCGGGAGCTCAGGGGCGGGGCAGGACGGTCCCACAGGCTGGTTGTGGCCCGCAGGCCGTAGTTTGCCCACCTCTGATTTAACCAATCCTGATGTTCTTATTCAGTCTAACTTCACACCAATTCCATGAGAATTTTTCCTGAGTAAGGACCTTGAGATTTGGCTCCTGTATACAGAGCTGGATTAAAACAATATGGAGCCCTAGGCATGCCTGCCAGGAGGTCCCCAAAGGGTGCACTGGTAGTGGTGACAGGGCCTCTTGAGGAGCAGCAGCAGTGTTGCACCCTTGGAGGCATGTGAGTTGTTCCCCTAGAGTGGGTGTGGGGCCAGATGATTTTTCTCTCTGGTTCTAGTGTTGGCTGGTCTGCCCTCTGTTGGAGGCTATCTGCAGACTCAGACAAATGTCACTGAATTGATTACACTCGCTTCATATTTTCAGGGGATGGAGGGGGGGTTGGCAACCTTGAAGGCTTAAAACATATTTTTTGTTTTAAATGAAAGGTGAAATTCTGACATTACATGACTGTGGGATGTGTCTATTGTTTAATTTGCCAATCCCTGCCTATATACACATAGGAGACACCTATCCCAGTAGCAAAATGTCCTTCTGTGGTGATAATAGAAATGGAAAAATCACTGTCCAAGAGCACAACAAAGAGGGAGAAGAGGCATTGAAAGAACCACTTCACCAAAATGTAGATTGTGATTCATTTACTTGACAAATCATATTCTTAATTTTAGGATATTTTTAAGATGGAGAGCATGACTTACTGGAGCACAGGACTGGGAGCCAGGAATTCCTGGATTCTAATCTTTGCTCTGTCATTGATTTACTGTCTGACTATACTCAAGTCACTTCACTTCTTTATGCTTTGTTATACCCCTTGGTAAAATATTTGGCAAAATACCAACCTCAGAAGGCTGTTTGAGGTTGAGTTAATGAATGTTTGTGCAGCAGTTTAAAAATACAGCTCCAGAGTCTGAGCTTAGTTACAAAGATGTAAATTTACATGTCAGTGGAATACTCCAGATTTGAACTAACGTAACTGAGAACAGAATCTGCCTCATAAAGTGCAATGTAAATGCCGCTATTATTATCATCATCATTATTTGTTATTTAATGAAGAGAAAACATCTAAGGCAACATGTAGTAGTGAAGCTAATCTATTATGCTCTAACCTCAATTTCGGTTTGTATCTCTTATGAGTGAATCAGTTAGTTCCGCAGCAGTTGATCTGTCCAACAGTGATTACCTCTCTGTTTATCTCCTAAATGAAAGCTCTTCTAAGTGTGATTAATGTTTGTGCTTTGGAAGTGGTGGGAGGATAATGGCTTTTCCAACCTGGCCTGCATTTGAAATATTACTGTACTACACATGGATAACGGGTCCTCTCATCATTTCTGCTTCTAGTTCCATATGTCCTATGCTGACAAAGAGCGCTATGAAAATGAAGAGAGACCGGAGGTACAGAGGCAGATTCTTGTCGAAATTGCAAGGAAGTTGCCAGTGTACACAAGAACGGGGAATGGAGGTCAGCTAAGCAGAGGCTCTGTTGATGTAAATCTATTCAATCATGCTAAGCATTGTATGCTGGCAATCCATTTTATACTGACAGTAACAGCAAATCCCTCATGCCAAGACATACTGCTAAAGGATTTCAGTGCTCAGAACTTTAATGCTGAGGAAATACTATTAGTTTAAAAGGATTTCCTTCCTGGCTTCCTCCTCCAACCCTCCTGATTGGGGAAAACGAGAAATCCTTGAATACTTATCACATTTTCAAGTAGAGTGCCGGGGGCTTAGCCTTTTGTTGTCTTCCTTTCTGTAGTTATAGTTTGGAAACGGTAGTTATTAATGTAGAATCATGGGCATAGCTTGGGGGGGATAGGAGAGTACTGCCACCCTCCCACCCCCAAAAATGGAAAGCTCGGGCAGGCATGGAATTTGTATGCCCCCCCCCCACCATGTGGCCCCTTTGGCCTGACTGCAGCTGCCCCCTCAAATATGGAAGCCAAACCACACCTATGTGTAGAAACAAATCTTGTAGCCTTTTTTTTTTTTCCCCATTTTAAAGAGGGTTTGGCCTGAGTAAAGACTTCAGGACATGGCCCCATAAATGAGGTCAACAGTTATTGTCCCTTATGGGCCTAGTTCTGCAACCAGATACGCGTTGTTACTCCTGGGGGAATTCTGTGCCACTGCGCATGTACAGAATTTTCCCCCAGCAGAATTCTTTGCTTCCCTGCAGAAAAATGACTTTCTGACAGGGAAGCCACAAAAGCAGTCATGTGACCCTCCCCAGTAGTATGTTTTGGATGCCCAGTGCAGCCTGCAGAGAGGTAAATCACTGTGGGGCAGGGAGCAGGACTGGGGAAGACCCAGCTGGTAGCTCCTACCTTGTGCTGGGCTCAGCTACTAGTCCCAGCTGAGCTGGGAGGACATGGGACTTCCTCTTCCCTGGCACAGCATCTAGGGCTGTGTCAGACCCACCCCCAGATTTCTCCCCCGGCTGTAGGAAGCTCTGCAAACTCCACCCCCCCACGTGCTTCCTGCACCCATTGCTCCTCAGCTGCAGAGGGAGGGATCACTGTACAGGGAGCTGCTCCCCCATCCAACCCCCTCATACCCAGACCCTCCCACCAAACCTCACCCCCCCCACAAACAAACCCCCCCCAATGAGCCCCACTCCCCTTGCACCTGGACTACCCTGACAAGCCACCCCACTTTAATGTTTAAAAGGATTTTAAACCTGGATTCCCCACCCCACTGAGCCTCACTCCCCCAGCATCTGGACCCCACCACCGAGGCACCCCCCCGCACCCAGACTCCCCTGCCAAGCTCTGTCCCCCCACAACCAGACACACAGACCCCACTGAGCCCCAACCACCTTCATCTGGACCCCCCTGCAGAGTCCCATTAATGTTGTACACAGAACCCCCCAACAAGCCTCTGTGCATCCAGATCCCCCCGCACCAGATCCCCCACTGAGCCACCCCCACACAGAACCTTCTCACCCCACACATGGATCCCCTCACACTAAGCCCCTCCACACTTGGATCTTGCCTTGCTGAGCCTGCCTGCCCACACCTGGTGCACTTAGCACAGAGGAGCAGGGCTCTGGGGTGTTTCTGGGGCAGGCCCGGTCCTCGCGCTATGTCAGAGTTGGGTGCAGCATCACTGCTGAGTCCGTGTCCAGGGGGAAAGCTGCACAGTGATCTCCCACCTCTGTGCAGCCAGTGGCCTGTGCTCCCCAGTGTCATGCTGGAGCCTCTACATTTATTTGACAAATACAATTTTCAGAATTTTAAAATATTGTGTGCAGAATTTTTAATTTTTTGGCACAGAATGCCCTCAGGAGTAACACATGGAACTCTTGTTGAAGCCTAAAGGAGTTCTATGGTTGGAATTGCTGCAGTGTTCAGGCCTGTGTATTCTTTAGTCAGCAAACTTAGGATCTGAAGTAAGCAATTTTTGTCCTGGGCCATTGTTTAAATGGAGCTTTTTCAAAGCCACAACACAAATGTACATGTGTACACACATCCTGTTTCTACGTTTCTTTTGACTACCTTCAAGCTGGATGTACATTCACCTCAAAGCCAGCCCCTTGGAGTATTAGGACCACCATTTATCTGTTTTTTTGCCTGGCAGCCTGAATCAACTGTAAAGTTGTTTAGGAAGCCAGTTATGAGGGAAAGGATGAGAACATGAACAGAATATTAAGTGTGTGTTCTCTTCCTGCTCATTATTTAACACTAACTACTAACTCTAATACTTCTGTGTTTAATTTTAGCTATTCGATTCTGTGATAGATGCCAGCTAATCAAGCCTGACCGTTGTCACCACTGTTCTGTTTGTGCTATGTAAGTTGTTGAAATGTTTTGACACCAGTGAATTGAGCCACTGCTAAGCAACAAAAATGACAATGTCTTGAACATGTACTTATACACATAGAAGTATCCAAATGTTTTCCTATGTTCAAGAATAGCTAAACAGTAAGGGCGAAACAGTCAAAAGGACTTCTGCTAGGTCTTGTGCACATGTGTGCCAGCACCTACATGCACGAAAGTGTTAGCATTTGCACTCCCAAAACACTGTGTCCCTAATATGTTTTGTGGTTATAGTTTCTACACTTTGCCTGCATGGGTGTGAATCTGGTGGAAGGTTTGCCAATTTATGAAAGGCACTAGCCACTGTCAGTGCACTCAAAAAAGTTTTTTTTTTTTTTTTTTTTTAAATATGTCAGGCCTTCGCTATGTATTGATCATGCAAAGATTGTAAGCATCCCAGAGCAGGAACCATCTTCATTTTTTGTCTTGTACAGCACCAAGGATGTCGGTAGCTCTTACAACAACAACAAATAGTCAGCCTTAAAAATGGTGCCTGCCTTAAGAATGATGGAATGATAGCAGCTATCTTAAATCTATCTCTTTGTAGAAATCCAACACAAAACAGCAACAAAGTCTTCTGACCTACAGTTGGTGGAGTCTTTGTTTATGAGTCTGTTTAAGTTCCAAACATAAGGATCCTCTTTGTTGTATTCTTTTTCTTTCCTTTTGCAGGTGTGTGTTAAAAATGGATCATCATTGCCCATGGTATGTCCAGGATATTGGTCTGTATCTTTCTGAAAGTAAAGGCTATTTAAATGCTTTTGTTGGTATTGTGTCTGCATGCCTCTTTCTTTTATCATGGAGGATGTATCTCTTTTTTGTGTTTAGCACTGTATGAAATGAACATACTGGGAAGACTTGCTTGAAGCATTTGATTTCTTTTGAGGGACAGATAAGGAATATTCTTGTTTTATTAACTGCATTTTTAGAAGCTGTTATAAACTAATCTACTCTTAGATTATTACCCAGAATTGTAAAGGGGCCTCAACCCTACCTTTCATTTTGGGTACATAATCATTTGGGCAAGCAGTTAGTAGTTGCACTCACCAATAATATTTGCATGCAGTATGCATATGAAATGGTGTCATTTGGGCATACGTGATAGTGTCTGCAGAATGGTGCATGGAAAATTAAAGCTCACACTTTGAGAGTTTGCCCCCATATACTTATTTCCCAGAACTACCTGGTTGAGATTTTTTTAATTACTGTCTTTGGGTTTTCCCAGCTCTGCTACTCCCTCCCCTTTACTAGAAGGGAGGCTTCAGGAACCAGAGGCAACACAGACATGGGTCTGAAACATACCCCCATATCTTATTCCCAAACGTAGGGGGTTCCAAATTTGAACCCAGGTCCAGATGCGAGTCTGATGCACCACTGATTAATACCTAGTGGAAAGATTTACACATAGATTCATAGATGTTAAGGTCAGAAGGGACCATTATGATCATCTAGTCTGACCTACTGCACAATGCTGGCCACCGAATCTCACCCATCCACTCCTGCAATAAACCTCTCACCTAAGTCTGAGCTATTGAAGTCCTCAAATCATGGTTTAAAGACTTCAAGGTGCAAAGAATCATCCAGCAAGTGACCCGTGCCCCATGCTGCAGAGGAAGGGGAAAAATCCCCAGGGCCTCTTCCAATCTGCCCTGGAGGAAAATTCCTTCCTGACCCCAAATATGGCAATCAGCTGAACCCTGAGCATGTGGGCAAGATTCACCAGCCAAATACCCAGGAAAGAAATCTCTGTAGTAACTCGGATCCCACCCCATATATAAAGAGGGTTTAAGATGCTATCACCAATGTGAATGGAGAATTCTGACTTACTACCATTTTGCACTCATTTTGCACATATGTAAATTACTCCACGAGGTGGACGTCCGTGGTGAATCAGGCCCAAATGGCCCATACAAGCCAAATCAAAATCCCAAATCTGGGTACCTTCAGAGTTTGGGGTATTTGAAATCCAGATATGAATTTTGCAGCTTGAGCCCATCTCTGTGACAAACTAGCGACGAGACCAAACTGATGGAGGTCTGGTCTTTTGATGTTATCAAATACATTTATCATGTTTTCCTTGGTGTGACTTTTGCTTGCAGGTAAAATACAAAAGTAACCAAGAACTCAGTTACATTTCATTGTTACCACTAAGGGGAGCTATTATTGAACAGATTGTTTTGTATAATCAAGCACCTACATTTAAAATTTAAAAAATTACTTTTGTATTCCTTGTCTTTGGACCACATGTGCTGTAAGTATCCTGATTTCAACTTTGCTTTAATTCTTTAGGGTGAATAACTGCGTTGGATTTTCTAACTACAAATTCTTTCTACTGTTTTTAATGTATTCTTTGTTGTATTGCATGTATATTGCTGCAACAGTCTTCAAGTATGTCATCAAGTATTGGACAGTAAGTGTATGAAATCATGTTACTTTTATGTATTTTATTACTCTTATTGTGGCTTTAAACTCTGCTGTGTTACTCTTACTGTCATTCCACAGAAAAATATATTGCATTTCAGTAGTAGGGGGGCTTTTTCTTGAATTCTGTATGTCCGTTTAACTCACATTGTGATTCAGATATGCACAAACTGAAGGGAAAATAGGCTCCAGTTGTAGAAAGGTTTTGGCTGAAAAATGCTAAACCTGTTTTTAAATTTCTTCTACAAATGCTACCAAATTTGTGCATGAAAGGACATATTTTCAGCCAGTCTTTAGGGCCCAGAACTTGCAGCCTAATTTTAAACAAAATACAAGGGAGTGTGTATAAACTATAAGAAGGAGTGGGTGATGGAGGGAGAATGAGGGTAACAGTAACACATACTGTCCCAGAACTGACTTGAGCAACATATTACAGGGATCATTGTTGCCAGTTGCAGTTTTAGTGTATTCATTTTTTTAACTGTCCTATGTATTGTGTAAGGGGAATGTAAAGACTCGCAGAGAGAGAGATCAGATATAAAAGATTTACAATTGAATATCAGTCATGTCTGGAATGATCTTTGTGACTAGAGAGGTAGAATTATAAAGCAAGTCAGAATCAGTACATCGTTGTGGTGATCTTGCAACAGAACACAATGAAACTTCCTAAATCCAAGAACAACTATTTGGGAAATACTGAAAAATTATGTCATCTCATCTCTTTATGTGCTTGTATTGCCTGGGGGGATAGTTGTCTCCTGGGTAAAAATTGGCAGGTTACCAACATTTGAAATGTATTAAGTGGCTGCATGATCACCACATACACATTTTCATTAGCATTGCAGGAAACTATTACTTGGAGTATATTCTTTTCTGTGACTTTATGGTTTGTTTCCTGTAATTCCCAGACCCACTTTCCCAACCTTCTCTGAATCCTTGCTCCTGTGGATCAAGTTTAGTGTGTTAAGGGAACAAGTGAGAGGAAAAGTAAATGAAACCTACTTTGGTGTTAGTTTTCATGGTGTTACTTGCCTGCTTGTCTCCATAAGCTTAGTTCCTGCAGTACATCTTCTCTTTTCTCTTCTCTTCGAGTTAGAACTAATATAAAGAGCTTTGTCCTGCCATTGATCTACACACATTCATTTTAGGATATGGCATTCAAAGAAACTGCTTTGACCTTCATTGTTTCCTTATAGTTTTTCTTTTTTGGCTTAAAAGTCGGACTGAAATACTGAGCACTTCTTTATATTACAGTTGGTTTATATGGAGACAGTGTCCGCTGATGGAACAGGAGATGGGCCTCAAGATTCTTGATATCTAATGCCTGCTGGTGCTGCTGGTTCACTTTGTGACTTTGGCCAAGTCACTTAGAGTATGGCTACACTGCAGTAAAACACCCGCAGCTGACCTGCGTCAGCTGACTCAGGCTACGAGGCTATCAAATTTTAGTATAGACATTGGGGCTTAGGCTGGAGCCTGGGCTCTGGGTCCAGCTGTGGGTGTTTTTATCGTAGTGTAGATGTACCCTTAATCTCTCTGGACCTCAATTTTATAACAGATGGTGCTGTAAACCATACCTCCAACCCAGTCACCCCTGTGGGGCACTAATAGGAATTAGTCCACATACTCAGGAGGGCAAAGGTTTTGTAACTCTCCCTTATGTTATGTAGGACTTGTAAGGTGGAGGAAGGCTTTTGCACATTTGCTCACTTGCAAGGGGTAGGTACAGTCTGTCTTTAAACTGCAGAAATTAAGTGCCAGAGAGGTCCTCATGCTCCAACATGTGAAATGAAGCATTTCAGCCACCTGTAAGATTTTCTGGGCTTTTACTAACTGTAGACATCTGTCACAAGCATTTGATTTACCTGCTTGTTGCTGTTATAGCTGAGAGAGAGGGAGTTCAAATTTCTGATCTCTTAAATTGGAATGTAGCCATTGGAAAAGATGGCAGCGTATTAATGTGCATCCAGGAAAATGTGAAGATTAAAGGAAACTCAGCAGAATGTGAACAGGCTTTGAAAGCACTTGTTATTGCCTGCCAAATTCACTGTGGGCATAGGAGACACTTCTCATACCCATATGGGGGACTGTGAACATACTGGCCCAGTTCCATACAAAAAATTAATAGCAAAGCCCCACTGTATATCTGCTTTGGAAGTGATGAGGGAAAGAGCCAGCTTATTTCTTCTTTGTCTTGTCTATTCATTGTAGGGAGAGGTGATTTTTTTTCTGCAAGTCTGAAAACCCTACACATCCTTAATGGATCCAGTGTAACGTCTGATTTCCTTTAGGCACCAAGATTTCTCTCTCCCTCTTTTTCATGTCCTTTATCCTTTTTTCCTTTTATTTCTAGGACGAATTGACCAATGGACGTTCCAAGTTCCATGTCCTTTTCCTTCTTTTTGTGGCAGTCATGTTCTTTCTAAGCCTGATGTTTCTCTTTGGCTACCACTGCTGGCTCGTCAGTAGAAACAGGTCTACTTTGGGTAAGATTCCATATGTACACCATAAAGCAGTGTTCTAAAAAAACGTGTGCTGTTCACCTCTAGGTATACCAGCAAATATTTGAAAAAGCATTGAAATAAAAAGATTTCTAATTTACACTGCTGGGGGTTTTCCTCTTCAGCTGACAAAAGCTAAATTGGCGACGTGGAGACTGTAAAATAGAAGGGCCCGATCCTGCAAATGCTTATGCATTACTTTATTCACTGAAATCAATGGGACTACCTGTAAGTACATTTACTTACACGTGTGTTTGCTGAAGTAGGCCGTAAAACAGCAAGTGGATTTGAGGAAAAGTACATCCATCTTTTCTGATGGTGAGTGAGGGTAGGGGTATGTGGAATTGGATCAGTTTTGTGAAAAAATTCTGAAATTCCATGATTTTTGAGCCAAAAAACTTCCAAGTTTCAAAATTTGAAACTGCATTTGGGTGAAGATCAGGTTTCACATTAGAGCACAAATATCACGTTTCAATGCAGATACTACCATTTTGTGACATTTTTGAATGACAAAGTGGCTTGAAACAAAATTGAAACTTTTTTAGCAAAGTTCCACACACAGATTAATCTCTCTCTTTCTTGCACAGACCTAGTGTAGGTTTGCCTTGAAAACTCGTTTTCAAAGGGCACTAGAACTCATCCATAGGCCTTTGTGCTGGCCTGAAGCATCAGGCCTCTACACAACAGTGTAGAAGGTAACTTTAAAAATACTGTTTCTGATGCCCTCTATTTTATCATTTTCTCCCTGCACCGCTTTTATCTCTCAACACAGGGCCTGTGTATCCTACCCTAACTCTTAATAGATAAGTGATAATTCATCAAGCACTCTGAATTTCCACACTTGAGATATGGTTCATAGAAGGGAGTTTGTTTCCGTTTTATGCTTCCAGTCTTAGGATTAGAAATTCCCCAATTTTTGTGTCTTTCCAGTGAAATTCAGAGCAAGTCTCATGAAAGAATGTTTAAACACATTAAATAATAAACTTCATTTTATAATTTTTGTTTTGGGGATTAAATTAAAACATTGTTAATTGGTTTTATGATTATTCTATGGGTTTCATCTGCAAAACCAAATCCATGCCATCAATTTTAAGGTAAGAGAAATGATAATGTAAAGATTTACAGGCATGCAAAAAGAAATGGCTGTGATCTCCACATTCATTCCTGTAATATTTCCATTTTGGTCCATGGTGTGGTATGTTTAATTGCTGAATGCAGTGGCTCTCAACCTTTCCAGACTACTGTACCCCTTTCAGGAGTCTGATTTGTCTTGTGTACCCCCAAGTTTCACCTCACTTAAAAAACTACTTGCTTACAAAACCAGACATAAAAATACAAAAGTGTCACAGCACACTGTTACAGAAAAATTGCTTACATTCTCATTTTTACCATATAATTATAAAATAAATCAACTGGAATATAAATATTTTACTTACATTTCAGTGTATAGTATATAGAGCAGTATAGACCGGTCACTGTCCGTATGAAATTTTAATTTATACTGATTTCTCTAGTGCTTTTTATGTAGCCTGTTGTAAAACTAGACAAATATATAGATGAGTTGATGTACCCCCTGGAAGACCTCTGAGTATGCCCAGGGGTACATGTACCAGTGGTTAAGAACCACTGGCTTAGTGTACTCAAAGATGGCTACTGTATAGCTTAAAGACGGTAATTTACTTTGCATTGATTAAAATATGTATTATTTTCCTAATGTCTAAATGGGCTTCCTTTGATTTTGATGAAGTTTGAGTGAGGAAGGGACCTCAGGATTTGTCCGTTGAAAATTCCCATGAGGATACAGTGTCATCACTTTAATGTGTAACAAAGCAAGGTTTTGAAAAATCTTAGACACCTTATGTTGGAGCTTCAGCATAAAATATTTTGTTTAACATTTGCTTCTTTTATTTTTTTCCCCTATGATGGCATCTGTCCATAGAGGCGTTCTCAGCTCCAGTGTTTCAAAATGGCCCAGATAAAAATGGATTCAATCTGGGCTTCATAAAGAATCTTCAGCAAGTATTTGGAGAGGAAAAGAAGCTGTGGTTACTACCTATTGTATCCAGGTAAGTGGTAATCAAAACAGTGGAAAAGAGGCCAATACCATGAAGCTGAGGGCCAAATCCTGGTCCCTGGGCTCAGCCTGAGTGTCGACCAGTTATGTATTGCGGAGTTCTGCAAGAATCAAGAGGAGCTGGTGTCCTCGCATGTAGATTGAGAAGTGGCTAGGGAGTCACTCCTAAGCAACAGCTGCTGCAGCCTCATTGCTACACCTCCAGCTGTACTGCTGACTGGAACGTGGTTAGGCAGTCATAGACCCACCAGCAAACATCTTTGCCTTGTCCCCCCAGGCTTCCTGTTAACATGGATGAATGAAACTGCCACGGATCACAGCTTCATAGTGTACAGGTGGTCTGCACCTTCTCTATTGGCGTGTGTGTGTGTGTGTCTCTGTCTGTCTGTCAGTCTCTCTCTCACATACACACACACACACACACGAACGATTACATTTAGCTATCTCTCTTAATTATATTTAAATGATTGAGCTAAATTGAACTCCATTTGAGTTACACCAGTAATGAATTCGGACTATAATCTTTATCCCACTGATCTTTTGCAAGAATTCAAGATCAAAATCACTTTAAAACATGGTCTATGAGCGCCCATCAAAACAAGGTTCCAAAACTGAACCCAGTATTTTCCAGAATTTAGTCCTTTGAATGTCCAGAGATTACTTTTAAAGACTTGTTTTAGGTTTGACTCAAGCCCAAAGCTTGACTCAAGCCCAAAGCAAGGAGTAAAGTTGTAGTTCAACCTTCAAATGAAGCAAGTCGGAAGTAGCTTATTTTCTGCCTTTGTCTCCCCAGCCAGGGTGATGGACATTCCTTTCCAATGAGAACGTTGTGTGAAGCTCAGAATCCACTGCTAGCAAATGAAGAGCAGTGGGGAGATGACGGACTGGATGAAGAGAACCATGGTAAGGTAACACAAAAGGAAATTTAGTTGTGTTTTAAACTAAAGTAACTGTTGGGTGGATTTAAAAATAGTCACTGAGAACCCACTATGAAAGTTATTCTTATGAAAGAGCATGTTGGCTAAGTCTCTGACAGCTCTGACTTAGTTAATGAAATAGAACAAACATAAGGCCCAAGTTTGGAATGAGTCTCCCATTTTGCAGGAGGAGCTCTGCTCCTACAAATACAGTAACTCCTCACTTAAAAAGAACGAGGAGTACTTGTGGCACCTTAGAGACTAAAAAATTTATTTGGACATAAGCTTTCATGGGCTAAAACTCCGATGAAGTGGGTTTTAGCCCACGAAAGCTTGTGCCCAAATACATTTGTTAGTCTCTAAGGTGCCACAAGGACTCCTCGTTCTTTTTGCTGATACAGACTAACACGGCTACCACTCTGAAACCTGTCGTCACTTAAAGTCGTCCCGGTTAATGTTGTTTCGTTGTTACATCGCTGATCAATTAGGGAACATGCTCGTTTAACGTTGTGCAATGCTCCCTTATAACGTCATTTCGCAGCCACCTGCTTGCGGGGAGAGCAGCCCGTTGCAGCGAGCTGGTGGGGCTTGGAACCAGGGTGGACCGGCAGCCCCGCATCAACTCCCCTAAGTTCCCTGTGCAGCAGCCACCCAGAGGCTATCGATTGCTGGCAGTTCAGCTGTCCGTCCCACCCCACTGCCAGGTGCTGCTCCTGACCTGTGCCTTGGAGCTGCTCTCCAGAGCCTCCTGCTTGCTGCCAGCAGGAGGAGAGGAGGCGGGGGGCGCTAATGTCAGGATGTCCCCCTCCCCCCTGCTCCTGCACGCCACTTACCCTATCCCCATAGAGCAGGGGGGACACACAACAGGACTCAGGAGGGAGGGAGCTTCCTGGCAGCAGCTGCTGCAGTCTCAGCTTGCTGATTAACTTAACAAGGCAATGTACTTAAGAGTGGTGTCTGCATAATTAAAGGGGAAATGTGCATCTCTCTCTCCCCGCACACAGGGTGTGTGCCTCTGTCCCTCCGTTCCTGCTGCCTTGTAGAGCGTGAGGCTACATGAACAACGAGTTAGCCCTTGAGGGCTCAGCCAGTTGCTAGTTCATCGTTTAGCAGTAAGGCTTCCCCGGGAAATATCCCACCCTCTGACTCCACCCCCTCAACCAAGCTTCACAATCATCATCGCTCTGTACGGTATTCAATTATTTGTTTAAAACTTACACACACACATATAATATGTCTCTTGTCTGTCAAAAAAAAATTTCCCTGGAACCTAACCCCCCCCATTTACATTAATTCTTATGGGGAAACTGGATTCGCTTAACATCATTTTGTTTAAAGTCGCATTTTTCAGGAACAGAACTACAACGTTAGGTGAGGAGTTACTGTAATTGGACTTGCAGTTTTGCACCCACATTTGCAGGCAGAAATGGTGACTTTTCTTCATCAAGCTATTTGATTGCTCCCACAAATTAAATACGTAGATGTGTAAATACTCTTTGCACCAGGTATGCAATGTAGCTGTAGCCCTGTCGGCCCCAGGATATTAGGCAGACAAAGTGGGTAAGGTAATATTTTTTTATTGTCTCAGAACTCTGTGTGACTCAAAAGCTTGTCTCACGCTAACAAAAGTTGGTCCAATAAAAGATATTCCCTCACTCACTGTTTGCACCCACAGTTATTTGGGACATGAAACTGTGCATGCTCAATGAGAAGTTTACCCAGCGTACATGTCAGAGTGTGTGTGCACATGCATATGTACAGTAACTGCATTTTGGCACTGTGAATCAGTCAGTAAGGATGCCCAATTATGCTTTGCCTCAGTGAGACTGTAAGGTAGGTGGTATTTAAACAAACCTGTCCATGCTGCTATAATTGGTGTTAAAGAAATACTTGTGCCTACAGCAATTATAGTGAAATGGCTTGTTTGTACAACAGTTATAATTTCAGATTAATTGAAAATTAATTTTTGGATTGATGGAAATAAGACTTGATGGACCTCTAAAAACATAGACACCCTTTTTATGCTATGGTGCTCCTGTGAAATAGCCCCTGCTAATATGTCCACTCGCTGCTTGCTTTTGCTCTGGTTAAGATACCTCTACAATCAGTTTCAAAATAATTCAGTGCTTCTGCCTGTTGAATCACAATTTTTTTTCTCATGTACTTGTTAACCCCCAAACTCCGGCCTTCAAACATGATGACAAGCATTAACACATCCCGGTGTCCTGTAAAGCTTCATGCCCTCCAAGTTTTAGGGTTCCAAAATATTGTCACTTGGTGTCATGAGGCAGGTGCTTTCTGTACGGAGCAAGGATAGCCACATATATATGTGTGGAAAGTATAATAATAAAGGCATAGATATTCCATCCTGGCATGAAAGCTCAGCAGATTTCTATTTAAAAAATTGGATCATGGTTTTTTCCTATAGGAATCGTGAAAACATAATAAACTCTTGTGTAACCATAACTTGTGAATTAAGCAAATATAGGTGAAGAGCTTGCTAATGCACATTTAGTGCTATAGAGACTAGGCTTTCATTAGGAGCTCAGCTTTGGTATCATGTTAACTGTTTCCAGGCTTAAAACAAGACCATTCGTGTTGTAGTTCACTTCCAGGAAGCCCCCTTTAGTCATTTTCAACAGTGCGTACTTGGGGACCTGTGTGGAAGCAATAGCTTTGTTTAAAAATAAAGCTTGTGTAGGTTTTTATAAGTGTGTGCAATCTTGTTACTTGCAGAACACAGAAAGAAGGTAGAGGAAGGATGGTCCAGTTATTAGGGTACTAGCCTAGGATCTAGGTTCAGTTCTCTGCTCTGCCATAGACTCTCTGTTCCTCAGCTCCTCATTTGTAAAATAGGGATAATAAAACTGCCTTACCTCACAGGGATGTTGGGAGGATAAATATGGTAAAGACTCCAGCACTTTGAGATCTAATGATGAAAATTGCAATATAAGACCTCAGTATTTTTTTTTATTTCTGACTATACAGCACTTGCAGCCTTACTGTCCCCGGTTTAATGTTAGCTTGTGTTAAAGTTTTATTGTCATTGCAAAGCAAATAAATGAAACCTTGTCCAAGGCACACTTCAGGATTTCATGAACAGAGCTGAAGAGGCTCATTTCAACATTGGTTCAGATAAGTGATTTCAAATGGCCTTTGTACATCTGGGCTGAAAAAACATCTGCTTCTGCTAAGACGTGTATATTTTAGTTAAGCTAATCTGTCTGACACGGTGATGCATTGCTGATGAACTTTTTAAAATAACATTGGTGTTTTTCTGTGTGCTATTTGTGATAATTTAAAAAAAAATCAATCCGTCCCTTCAGGAGTGGTTCCCAAGTCCCCTACCCTTTACAAAGTGTTATGGCCTCTGATTAAAAAGTCTGCTTAGCTCTCTAAATATGAGCATAAGCATGCATAAGAATGAAATTAGCTTTTGCCAAGTCAGCTCTCAAAATCTGAGTTTCAAGCCTTATGATCGTAGTGCTCATATAATGATCAGTGACCTGTACTAGGCTCTTTCCCAGTGAAGAAAATGGTGTGTAATCATCTTGCTCTGAAACTTGGTGAAGTTTTTTTCAGCACCAATAGGTAGGGCCATTTTGGTTAATTTCATAGCCAGAGGGTTTTTTAATTGGTCAGTTTCATGTTTTCAGATGTTTGACATCTGAAATTTCAGGGTGTTGTAACCATGCTTCCTGCAGCTGGAAGAGGTTCCCAGAGGTGGAGGTGGGTCTGATCTTCCCCCATACTGCTGGGAGCGCCCCCACAGGGGCTCCTAGCATCCAGTCCTGGCCTCTTCCCCTGAACAACTGCTGTTTGGTGAGGGGAGATCAGACCCACCTCTGGGCACCTCCCCAAGCTGCAGGAAGCTCCATGGCTGCATTGTCTTCAGAGCCCAGCTGAAACCAATGAGGGTGCAATGCAGCCAAGGAGCTTCCTGCAGTCAGCGGAGATAATTGGAAGTGGGTCTGATCTCCCCCCAAGAGCAGCCATGCAGGGGAAGAAAAAGTCCTGTCCCTCCCCAGCCCGGCAGACTAGCAGCTGGAGCTCAGTGACAGATAGGAGTCCCCGGCTGGAGCGCCCCCAGCCCTGCCCCTTCCTCTCCCCTCCAATAGCTAGAGTTCACGGGGGAAGTCTAATTTCACGGTCTGTGACGTGTTTCTCACGGTCGTGAATTTGTAGGGCCCCACCAATGGGACTCGAATTCCTTCCTAGAACACAAAAGCAGAATGATCCCTCCCCTGATGTATTTAAGTGGTGTCTCTCTCCTCTTGGAGCTTTTGCAGCACACACCTATGATTGCTCAGGCACCTGCACTTTGGTAGAAGTAATAAGAGCTGTTCTCATCATCGGAGTCCCTCCTCTAGGCATATGAGGAAGAGGAAGTGACATGCCACAGAGATAATTTAAAAAAAAAAGAAAAGAAAAGAGAAAATGCTTGATCCAGTTTTGCTGTATAATGTTCTCCTTCTGAACCACCACGCTACAATCCTTGCCTGTGCTGTGGTTTGATTTTTCTGAACATAAACAAAGCGAACACCCAGCAGACCCTTAAAGCTAAAAGCAAAAATGGCAAAGGCAAACTCCTTGTGGATATAGTTTTAAAATCAATCTTGGGGGAAACTGGAAGACTTCTGAATACAAGAGACATGTTACTGAAATTCAGGAGGCGGGGAACACCATGACCTGGACTAGGTGTATGAAAAAGAATATTTTCAGTTGCTTTTATCTTCACTGTAAGATTGTGTTCCTCTCGGTTTGAAATGGGTGTTGACCTTTGCTCTGACTTTTTTTGTACATTGATTCGCTAAGGATTGTAGCATTTCAGTTAGAATGAAAAACATTCTGAGCTTCTTGATCAACCAGAAACCAAGAACATTCACTTTCAAATGCACTTTAATTCTTAAGTTATGGCATTTTTCTGATTTCATTAATGCTGTCCTTTATTCACAAACATATTCTCTCTCTAATCTATCTAGTCAGGAAGTTCCCCCAAATGGCCTGTGCTGGCAGATTATAAAATAATCTTATTTTTTCTAAAAATTAATCTTGAATTCACTTAATATCCAAATCCTGAATTAGTTGGTCCTATGTGTGCTTGGATTCTGTTTGCCCTTATAGTAACAAGATAAGGCTGTGGACAAGAACTTTTTAAATATCTATGTAGTATATGATGTTAACAACTAATCACACAGGTGGATTTAAATGTATGTTTCAGGGCAAGTCAAAATTCTAGATATAATTAATATATGTAGTACTTGGATATGTAGTACAGTAAATTTGGGAGCATAATCATGAGAGTATAGTTCCCCCTGAATTGACCACATATTCCAGTGTTTTCTGTGTCATAGTTGGAAGCGGTAAACACAGATTATCACATAAAGCTTCAAATATCTGAAGGCACCTGATTTCAATTTAAATGTTACTCATTAGGAAATACTGTATGCATGAGAATTGCCTTGACTGCAGTTGAGGAACTTACTGCAGTGCTCTGACCAGGAGGAATTAAATAAAGAGAGACCTCCCTGTCCTGAGAAATCATCAGTTAATTTGCATAAATCCTTGAAACAAAGCCAATCACCTCTTTTTTCATTGTAGGGATTAAATTCCAATCCATGCAGATACATCCATCCCCTTCTATCACATGTATCTGAGACACAACTGATACTGCTTTGCAGTCTCTCATTTTCTAGCCATCTCTTTCCTTCCTATCAATGCACCAGCACCTCAAGTGCTATAGTACTGTAACTGAGTATTTGGATTACATCCAGAGCAATAGCAGCAAGACTGTATAATTTTCTGAACTGATCAGACCTGAAACATGCCATTAGAATTGGAAGATCTTTACTTGTCAAAGTGGCTGTTAAAGCCTGTGAATCAGATAATGTCAATAAATAAACTCTCAGTTTAGAAATCAGCAGGGTTACCCCTGATGGGGATGAATGTCTGATTTTTGTTTAAAATGGTGTTAAAAAAAAATATCTAACATTTAATGGCTAATGGTGTATTCAGAGCATAAGGATGACAGGAACACTATACTATCTATCTCTAACCATTTTGTTTTCAATTTTATAGGTTACCATGAAGGTTCATCTCTTGCCATGGAAATGGAGACATAGCGGTTTGCAAATCTGATGGTACAAAACTCATTCAGACAGGTCAGCACTTTGTTTTCAGGTGACTTGAGACAGTCTGGTTCTGACATGGGACTTCTTCTGAGGCCTTGTCATTTAACCTGTTTGTCTATATCTCCTTCTGTGAAATAGGATAATAATGCCTCATAGGGACACTCTGAGGATTAATTATGGTATGTTTGTACAGAGCTTTGAATAGAAAAGTGTGAGATAAGGTAATGGAGGTTGGGGTTTGGGGGGTTTTTATTTTATTTTATTTTTTTAACCTCCCAGGACTGTGGTGAACTGTCAGTGTGGTGCACAGAGTGTTGCCTACAGTGTTCTCTCTCCTTGTTCAGAGATCTAGAAAATAAATTTTACATATCTCTGACCTACTTGTGTGAGCTAAGAGAGCCCAGAGAAGCCCCCTCAGTTTACACACCCCATAAGAGCACCGAAAGGCATTTAACTTGAAGGAAAGGATCAAAGAGTTGTGAGGTATTTGATGGTGGAATGTGGCTGGGCAGTATATTCCCTCAGATTTAATCACATCTCTCCCCCGCATGACCACAGGAATGAAGATCTGTTTCATGTACTTCCAAAAGTAGCGGGTAGAATACTGTGGAATAGGGGAGGAGTTGGGAATAGCCATGCTACATAGTAAATTCCTCTTCCATGCAATCAGGGCTAAATTACAGTAGCTTACAATGCTCAAGTCAGTAGTGACTCTCCCATCTGGCTTTTTCTCACCGTGGAGGGGCCTGGGTATAACAGCAGATGGCATGGGCTGGGAGAGGAGTCAGGTCCTTCATGTTAGAATGTCACTGATCCATCAACTTAGCTCCCATATGTTCTGGCCTTCACGACATTGGGAGGATGCCCTCTCACAGCTCCACTCAGTTATGAGCTGTGTCCTCCTCAAGTCTCTGCAAAGGAACCATGCAATGAAGCACCACTTCAAGAGATCTACTTCTCTTTCTGTTCTGTAGGTAGGGCAGTGTAGGGCTGTGGGTAGACAGAGGACATTTAACCCTTATTTTGTTCAAAGTGTTAATTGTAAACTCTGTGCTAACGCAGCATAATCCAGTACCTTGTTCTGTGCTTCAAAAAGATGATTTAAGGCCTGGTCTAAACTAGAGAATTATATGGTAGAACTACGTCACTCAAGGGGTGTGAAGAATCCACGCCGCTGAGCGATGTAGTTATACCAACCTAACCCTGGTGTAGACAGAACTATGTCGGGGGGGCGGGGGGGAGAGCTACTCCTGTCATCAAAGCTACCGCCTCTCGGGGAGGTGGATTTGCTACGGTGACGGTGTAGTAGCATCTTCACTAAAGCGCTACAACTGCGCTGCTGTAGTGTGGTACGTGAAGACAAGCCCTAAGACTATTTGATAAACTAATTGTTATAGCTTTTGAATATGCATCCACTTTCTTCTGAGGAGGACGATGCTACCAACCCAGGAAGGAAATGTTCCGAATCTTGATAACACTGAAAGCCACTTGCTGCCCTACACCCATCAAAAATGCTAGTGAGAAGGCAAAGTGTTTCCTTGAAGTTTGTATGATTTAAAATAAAAATGTTGAACCCAGTATAAAGGCTGAAGCAGGCAGGTGTGAATTGCTCTGACAGAACAATGCTTAGTTTATTTTTCTTGTTCCTTTAAATTTCAGCTTCCTTCTCAGGAGCCAGCATCTTTTCTTTGCACAGACTTCAGAATTGAAGGTCAGGAAGCAAATGGATATTCAGGATAAAAAAACATCATGAAGTATTATCTGACTGGAATCCTAACGTTCTAGACTGATTGTCCAGAATACCTGCTGGGCGGATCTTTCAGGGCTTTACAAGTTCAGGGTGTTTTAAAGTTAATGTCTGAGCGGAGCAGTTTCATAGACAGTGGGCCAGGGCAGACTGGCCTGAATATATCTATATATAATTGTGTCTGTAATAGGTGAAAAGTGTTGGTGTAAATGCATTTCCACAGTCCTTTCCATTGCTGCAAACATCTGGCACTCTAAATCTCAAAATACTTCAAGCCTTTATATTCCCAGGCAGGCTGTTTATCTTGGGCCTGATTCTTCAGCCTTTACTCATGGTGAGTAAAATGTACACATAAATCAACAGAATTTCTTGAGTAAGTACTACTCAATGTGAGTCAGGTTTGCCAAATCAGGGCCTAAATTGGAAGAGCCCTTTGTGTGTATGTGCAGTGTATATTTAGATAACATGCATATACATTTGCAACTGTATATGTGCATAAAATACCTGCTCATGCTGGCAGAAGCAAGGTTAAAGAATATGCCAAGGCCACTGATGCTTCTGTCTAGAAATGCATCATCCTCAGTACGATTTTGAAGTTTACTGGCCTTCAAGCACAATCCTGTAGCAGGTACTCAAATGTTATATTGTCTAAAATTCCCTTTAATGACTTCATTTAATTCCTAGGCCTAATGTATGGGAATCTAACAATCACATAGAGCACATTCTTCTTCCCTCTCCCACCAGGATCCGCATTTTATAAAGGTTTTTAATCACTGTTTTCAGTTCCCCATAAGCATCGATCTAGAAGCAGGTAAATTAGAAACTTGCATTGAATGTATGGCTCCAGCAAGTGAGATTGGAGCCTCAACCAAGATGGTTTTAGCCCCATAATGCTGAACAAGCAGCTGATGTATTATATTAGCTCAAACTTCTGCCTGATTAAATGTATTGACTGGGGCTGTAAAGATTTTTTCAATACCAAGCTGTGGTCATATTTCCCAGTTACTTTGCATTCCTTTGACTGCACATCATTGTTCCAGATTTTTTTAAGCTACTTTTGCAATCAAGAATTTTATACTAGGTAATGGAATTTGGAGTTTTTGGGTCGTAGATGTTATGTAGTTCTTAGTGGTAGGTCTTAATTTTCTCTTTCCACCTGCAAGATTCAGGATTGACAGCTCCATCATCATCCATGCTGGAAATCAGATGCTTGTTTCATAATAGTAATGTATGGACAATACTAATATTAGTCCTTAAGCATAGGTCATAAGATCAGTCATTATGCTCACTATATACCATTTTAGATACAACTTTTTATTTAGTATCAGTCTTTACTTTCCTGTGGACAGTTCCTGAAACAGCAAGTATGGATGTGATGAGAAACTGCTTGATAAATGTTCAGTGACAAAGGCCTTGTCTACAGAATAGACTTTTTCCCCCTGAGATTTCTCTCTTGCTGCTATGAGAGGAGGATATACCAGTGGTAGCAGCAGCTGGAAATTGTAGGGGAAGAACCTGGTGTACATAACACTCCTCCTCCCACCTTCTGTCACAGATATAAATCACTGCTTTTGGAAGAGACGTCTTTCATCTCTGTATTTAAATCCTGGAGCTGGTAATCAAACTCTTGCTTTCAGCAGCAACATATTTTACAAACACCTAATTTAACTCCTAGAAGCTGGGGTAAGTGGGACTGCAGAACACATCCATATCCTAGTGTAGGTTCTCTTCTCATCTCTTTTTTTGAGTGTGTTAGCTAATTAATTTGTACATTGTGCAGATGGGACCTCAGACACCTCTTTTGGTAGCTGTTCTGTTATCAGGTGGCTCTCAACATTTTTTTTATCAAATCTGAATCTGCCTTTCTTTAATTTAAGCCCATTACTGCTTTTAATACATTCATAGTCAACTTCTGTAAAGGCTTGCTCCTTTCATTACGTTATTTTCTGTGAAATACTAAGGAAAGATAGCCATGAAATCAAAGTAATTGCCTAATCTCATACAAAATGTGTTTAAAGGGAGATTTTCAAAGGGAGAAATGCAGTTAAGTGTCTTAACTCCCACTGAAAATTAATGGGAGTTAGGTACCTAACTGGTGTTTGTGCCTTTAAAAATCTTCCCTTAAATCACTACAAACTCTTTAAAATGCCCTATGTATAAAAATGTGAAGATAAGGATTGTAGCAGGAGGCTGGCATATTATCTGTTAGCTTGATTGTATCCTTCAGAGCAGGAAGAACAGCGCTGTAGCCAGACCCACATGGAACTCCTGGAGTTTTTTAGGTAGGTTCTTATATCTCTTGTTTTGTTTTTCTGTTTACAGCCATCTAATTCTTTTGTTTCTTGCCAAAGCTAACTGTACAGTGGTAGCAGGAGAGTATTTACAAGGTGCTATAGAAGCTGCTCCTGTTTGCTCACTGACTGCAGCTCTGACCTTCTTCTTTGAGTAAACCACATCAGGCTGCATTTCCTGTTGCAATTATCACTAAAGTGGCAGGCCATCAGTGTTTATACAACTGTCCAATTCATAATGGGACAGTCTGAAGTAATTTCAGGTATTTTGAAATACTGTTTTGAAATTTCCACACTTAATTTACATATTCTAATTTAAAAAGCTATTCTGTAGCCAGGTAAGGCTGCAGGTCTCCTTTTTAAGGTAACTTGGTGACTGTCTCCTGTCCAAACAGAAACTAACTGTTTCTTAGCTCTTCAAAATCTACTTTTAAAAATCAGTACCAAGGCTCAAAACTAAATGTGCTTAGAAAATAAAATAAAATGAAATCAATGCTGAAGTTCAATCCAAGTGAAGCGTGACAAATATAGTACAGAGCAGGAATGTGTGAGTGACAAAAAAATCAGTTTTCAAAATAAACCTGTTTGCTTTTAGAAGAAATGGTCATACTATGATTGCAGATCGAATTTGTGGATGCTGCAGTCCAATGCAACAGAGTGGAGTTGTGCAAAAACTTTACATCCCAAGAAAGAAGTACAGAAAACTGAGTACAGAAAACTGTATTGAACATAATTATGCCCAAAAATGGAGAGATACAGTGTGCCTTTATTTCCTTCCCTAGAGATATTCTGCATCTGCCGCCTTCAAGGCTGCATGTAGATGAATAACCAGGCCCTTTGGGGAAGCCTAGCACTTCATACAATATTTCTACTTAAGTTTCCCTGCTTTGATGGTGTGTCGTGACTACAGATCTACTCCTAAGGTCACAGAGGATGACATACTAAGAAGTGTATAACTCGGTCGGTATTTTTCACTATTAAAAAGGATTCTGTCAGCTTGAAATCTAGTCACCATAAAAATTGAGTTAAATAGTTTCGACACTACCTGTGATTTGTTGTGGTTTTACAGTCAGGTTCCTATTTATTTTGTAAAGTGTTTTTTTTCCCCCTTCCTTCCCTGTTTCTGTAGGAAAGTCGTGCACGAACATCAGGGGAAATGCACTATGCACACAACGCTATCAAAAGCACTAAGTAAATGCACTGAAAAAACAGACTGTTGGTAAAATATTCAGCCTGGAGTGTGATTTTTAACATTCTGATAGCCCTTTAAATTTAAGGGTGCATTTTCTCTTTCACTGGTGCTATTTGCTGGGCATATTTTTATGCTGCATCACAGAAAGAGATGTTTAAGTCCTATGATATCATCAGGATCCAGTTGTGTCTCTGTTCTTGCCAAGGAAAAGAATGGGCTTCACAGCTGTAAACTGAATCCCAGAAAACAGGAGTTAAAGCTCTATTAAACTTTTGGAGCACAATCCTTCTAGCAGGTCCCAATGTTTATTTTTAAATTGTGTGAATGCAATATTCCTGAAAGGTGCCAGATTGATAGCCCTGCACAGTGTACTGTTTAGCCACAAACTGGTGGCAGCAGTACAAGCTTTCCCGAAAGGGAATACCTCTGGGGCTAAAATAGCTGGCAGTCTGCTTTGAGAAATGAAGGCTTGAATGGACAGAGAGAGGCAAGTTGCCAGTTAGTGCTCTCCATGGTGGCTTTTTGTGCTTTGGATGTGGAAACTGAATTGAAATCACTGAATTCAATTTATGTAATTCACCAAACAGCCATCAGAGTAATTTTTAGTCACAACCAACCTGGACTGAATTCAAACCAGAGACCTAAAGATGAAAAGCTTAACAGGGGTTCCTAAAGTCTCTTTGGAAATGTTAAACACTAAACATTAATTTAGCTCAAAGTCTAAGAACTTGGGTATTGAACCTCCCCATGCAAAGCACGTTCCCCTGTTCCCCCAGCCCCAGATCCATTTTATACTGACTGTGGTGTTCATATCAGATAAGAAACACATTTATTTGTCCTATCCTCCTCTTCCTCTCCTCTCCCCCCCCCCCCCCCAAAAAAAAAAAAATGACCGTACTTATAAACACTTTCCCCAGTGAATGTCACCACATGCACAAAGAATGCTGTGGGTGGATTTTACTGTAATATGAATCATTCCGTCAAGCTGCCTGTCTCCTATGAATAACAGTCCAAAATATCCCACTGACAATTATCCTCTTTACATTCCAGATACCCTGCTCTAACAAGCAGGTAAGGCATCATATTGATGCCTGCATAGGGTGTCTTGTGACAAGGCCTCTCCTTGGCCAGTGAGTTGCTCTCCAAGGAATTAGTGTTTGTAAGCATCTCTGCACTGCAGTTTGTTTTGTAAATTTGGACTCTTGCTGAATCAGTGTAAGATGTTTTTGGAGTAGAATAAGTTTTTGTATTCCTTTAAACAGGAATTCAGTTCTGTACATTTTTAATAGACTATACTTGTTGCATGTAGGCGTACTGTAATCAGTAAGGACGAGGAAGCTTTCTATTAGCATGATAGTGTGATGAATGTTTACTTGCCAGAAATGGCCAGAGCTGTGGTTCAGCAAAATATACAGTGTATTCCAAGTGTAGGAGGTGTGTATTCTGGCACAGGCTGAAAGCATAATTTTGTACCAGTTACAGGACTAGCTGCATAAAGTCTGTAACACAATATGAATGTAACCTGTCAGGAAGTACTTCCTTTGTATCTAACGATGTGGATGGAGGAGTTAAGATTTTAAAGATGCATTCAGGGAACAACTGCCTTCAGTACAGTTGTTAAGCCAGCACAGCAGACTTGCCATTCATATGGCTGACTGTTCCACAGAAGTGTTAAAGGAACTGATCATTAATAATTGTAAGCAGGTTAACAAAACATTGCTGGACCCTTGCCTGTTAGGCCTGAGTCAACTCAAAGTTGCACGTTCTCTTTTTGTGTCTGTGGTACAATGTTTTGAAACTGATCTACTTGAAAAATGTCTTGTTCTTATTGGTATTTTTCAGTTGTCAGCAGGTGTTCTGATGCAGAACATTTCAAACTGAGGTTTTTTCCCACAAACCATCAATTAAAGCATTTGCATGGCAGAGTTGCTTTTTCATTAAAACTAATGTTCTGTTAGCAGCTTGGAGGGTGGCAACCAATTCAGACATGGAGCATTAGATATGTACTTTTCCTGATCATTTCCTCTTATTTCATCTCGTTTCACTTTTTTGATAATTAACAGTCCACCAAGATGATAGCCATTTGTTCATTTTAGTTTTTACAGGCATTCTTATTTCTTTTTGTTAAAGAAGAATACAAAGTGAGAAGAGTTTTTCTTTCTGATCACATGCAAATGACTTACAATTTATTATTTTTCAGCCAGCTGCATTTTTTCCTTTAGTTACTAATACAGAGAGTGGATGGAATGGGCTCTCAAAAAATGTCGTGCAATGTAATTTCTTGGTTTGATGTCAATTTGTTGATGGGTATCTTTGCATCATCCTTGTCATTCTGATTTGTTTTTTTGTTCAGTGCAGCAAGATCCAATTTTCTATATCTTCTTTTGAATGCTTAAATATTTTTTTAAATCCCTATTTTACTGTTTTCTGTCTGCAATTTGGAATGTACACATTGAAATTTTTAAAAATGGTATTAGGTTTTACATTTATATTTCAAGTAAGACCAAAAATCTTTTATGTCCGCAAAGATGCGGTTTAAAGTATTCATTCTATATCAGGATTTGAGGTTTGCAGCAGCATCTGCAGTACAGCTGGTATTAGAAAAATGCATGATTGTTAAAATACACAAAATAGAAAAGGGTCATTCTTGTTCTTTTATTCCAGTTGTGCTTAGGAAGAGGCATTCTTTTTGCACTGGGTGCTAATATCAAACAGCCCATGTAATGCAAAGGTGATTTTACTAAACAGAACTTTTTTGTTACTTGTAACTAACTTTGCATTTACTTGTGACCAAATCCTATACCAAACCTGGACAGACAGAGGTGTCTTTCCCCCACTCGCAAAGCTGTAGAGCCTTTGCAGTGTATTATCTATTACACACCTGCATGGAAGGAAAGCACATAATCTGTATCTCTGTGTTTTTCTTTCTCCTCTGGGCCCTGGTGCTCAGTGAGCCCTAAAGCTGTTTTGTGGTGCATCTATAAATGGAGCAAAGTCATGACACAGGCATCTGGTATCCTAACTGTGCAACAAACCACCCTGGTTCTGGTGTAGACAGGGCCTTTCTACAAGGGTGAAGGACACTAAGCACTTGTCTACACATGAAAGTTATTCTAGAATAAGGTAGGGTGTGAATTTCAAGTGCAATGGCTATTCCAGAATAACTTGTGTGTAGACAAACCCCAAGTACCATAAAAATGTAAGTTGCTTCATTTACGCAGGGAGCTTTGATTTTAACTTCCGCCAGTTCTTTTGTAAAGTTTTCAGTGCATCTTCATTTAGGGACGGACTTGAGCCATCATTTAGTCAAGGGAGATCCTCCTTCCCTAAGTTTTTAAAACAGGAGCATTTTAAAAATAACTTTTTTAAAAAATTCATACTTACCTGTGAGATGTAAGCAACCTACATGTTGGAGTTCATTTTTCATTAGTTATTTTGTTTAATATTTTACTCTACTTCAAAATCCATTTTGACTGGTCAGCTTCACTCCTTGCTGCACAGGCATGGGTTTTGTTTGCTGGGGAAGGTGTGAATCAAACTAAACATTTTATCCAAACTACTCAGAAAGCTTTGCTTGGGGAGAAAACCTACTGTCACTCGTCCCCTTCAATATTAACAACCAGTGCAGAGAACTTTCCCTTTGCACTAATGTAAACTGGCATAGTGAGCCATATCATGTCAGCAACTTTAAACGGGACTGCCATTTGATTTAAATTAGTTCTGCCTTACATATACACACTAACTTACTTGCTGGCACAATATGGCCCTATGTTCATACCAGTAAGTGTGTTTTCTTTGCTTTTTTTGAAATGCATCTTGCAGATTCAATGATTACTGGAGTGTTCAGCTAAGACTGTGATAGATTGGAACTGCATGAGGTTTTATCTCTCACACTTCCTTATGTCAACAGGGGGGCCAAATGTTTTCCATAATGTTATGAAAAGTCTGACAGCATTGGGAATGTTTTTGCGCAGTTTCAAGAGTTTTTATTAGCGATGCTGGCATTGGCTTTTAGTGTCAAATGGATTTTTACAAAAACTTTCTGTACAAACCACCATTTTTATTGGCCAACAAACATTCTCTATATTTGATGTGTTAGTAAGTTTCAGTAGCACTTTCAAGGAGTTTTTATGGTTTGAATACTGAATATTATGCATTGTTTTCTACTATTTGTTTTTTTACTAGAGAATCGCATGGTTTATACTGTATTGCAGTAAAGAACTGCATTAAAATTGTTTTAGCTTTACACTGATGTTGATTATTGGCCATAAGTTAGTCTAGAGCACCATTTCACAGGCAAGGTCTTGTAAGCCTGAAACAGCTGTCTGAGGACAGGAGGGTGTGATATCATCCCACCTAGGCGAGGTTTGAGAAGATCTCACTGCTGGAGCTGCGCGCATGGCAAGCTCAATTCCTGCCTCCTTTGCCCTGGTGAAGGGATACTTGCGCCAGCTTGTCTTTTTGAGGAGAATTCCCATTCCACCCTATTACAGGCAGGAAGCTTACCAGTACACCACACTACAGCATTTATGTGTTGGGATATTTTTTGGATGATATTAAGCACCATGTTAAGGTGAGGTACAAGTTTTACAAACAGGCAATCCAGTTGCTATCACTTATGTGTGAAAAACTTTTTTTGCTTCTCTTTCCAGAATAAACTGTTCGCGCTAGGTATTCCAAAAAATTACAGTAAGACAAGACCCTGTTTTGTTGTGCACTTGAAGCTGACGGACTTAAATATTTTACAGTAAAAATTACACACCAAGAAGCTAGAACTACATTTAAAGTGTGTCAGAGTTTTAGCTTGTGTTTAAGAAGCATTTAGACCTAATTACTGGACATAAAATGCAAGACAGCTACCAACATAAACCCCTTTCTTAGGAATGCTGGCTGATAGATAGGGCTAGAAACCAGGCATCACTTCATCTGACATTTTACTTATCTTTAAAATGGTTAATTAGAACACATATGTAGCTTAACACATAGGGGTTTTAATAAGGCACAACTGCTAAGTATTTTGTGTAGAGATTTTTTTTGAAAACCATACTGTTGCCATCTTCAGCACTAGCCCTTTGAGCATTTTCACTACAGCAGCAAGTGGGTTATGGTGGAAGGTTTCTTTATTTTTTAGTACCACAGAGCTTAATGAGGCACCTACATGTTTTACTATGTGGAATTAATCCATAAAGAACAATGACCTAAAAAGAGTTGAAATCAATGGCTGTGGGCACCATCCAGGGACCAGAAATCTACCTCTGGTGCTAATCTCTATGCAGAGTTCCTAGTGCCTTCATGATTTTTGAATTAGTAAAATAAGCTGTAATGACTACACCAGCACAATGAAAACTGTACCAACATAAAATGAAATCTACACTGCATGCTTTACAGCATGATTTTATTTTGCTATTGCAAACAGCTATAGAACAGGGTTATGAAAGAATAAATAAATTAAAGCACTGAGTGTGTAACGATTTCCAAAAGCTCATTAAACAGCCTTTAGTTTATAATAATTGAATGTTCTTCATTATTGTATCTGATTCAATTTTCAGAAAGTAACCAAACAAAATGAATGTAGGTCAAATATTTTTCCCCTCTGGCCAATAAAGATTTTAAATATGCCTGCAGCCAGCCCTGCTACAAATAATAAAACGTAGAAAAAACACCATTGTAATATACAGCAACATATTGACATAACCAGTTTGTGTTAAGTGTCAGTCCGTTCCAAAATACTTCTGTCCAAAGTGTGTTGGTGCAACAGGATGAACTTCTGTAGTTAAAATTGTGATCTCTGGGAACTCCTGGATGATAGATTTGGCACCTTTTAAGGAAGAAAGAAGAAAATAGTTGAAACTACACTTTGTAGTTCAGTCCAGCACCTACAGGATTTTATAATCAGTTGAGCAGAGGTTGGTCCCCTGTAGTTACCTCACCTCTGCTGTTTGATCCACTTTTTGCATTTACACTGGGCTTGTGCAGGGCTGAAACTGTGGAAAAGCAGCATCACTTGCCCCACAACCTCAGCCGTGCAGAACACAATGCCACCCACAGCCTCAGAAACAACTCTGACATCATAATCAAAAAGGCTGACAAAGGAGGTGCTGTTGTCATCATGAATAGGTCGGAATATGAACAAGAGGCTGCTAGGCAGCTCTCCAACACCACTTTCTACAAGCTATTACCCTCTGATCCCACTGAGAGTTACCAAAAGAAACTACAGCATTTGCTCAAGAAACTCCTGAAAAAGCACAAGATCAAAATCGCACAGACACACCCCTGGAACCCCGACCTGGGAAGTTCTATCTACTACCCAAGATCCATAAACCTGGAAATCCTGGGCGCCCCATCATCTCAGGCATTGGCACCCTGACAGCAGGATTGTCTGGCTATGTAGACTCCCTCCTCAGGCCCTACGCTACCAGCACTCCCAGCTACCTTGGAGACACCACTGACTTCCTGAGGAAACTACAATCCATCAGTGATCTTCCTGATAACACCATCCTGGCCACTATGGATGTAGAAGCCCTCTACACCAACATTCCACACAAAGATGGACTACAAGCCGTCAAGAACACTATCCCCGATAATGTCATGGCTAACCTGGTGGCTGAACTTTGTGACTTTGTCCTTACCCATAACTATTTTACATTTGGGGACAATGTATACCTTCAAATCAGCGGCACTGCTATGGGTACCCGCATGGCCCCACAGTATGCCAACATTTTTATGGCTGACTTAGAACAACGCTTCCTCAGCTCTTGTCCCCTAACGCCCCTACTCTACTTGCGCTATATTGATGACGTCTTCATCATCTGGACCCATGGAAAAGAAGCGATGGTCACATAAACACCACCCTATACCGGAAACCTACTGACTGCTATTCCTACCTACATGCCTCCAGCTTTCACCCTGACCACACCACACGATCCATCGTCTACAGCCAAGCTCTGCGATACAACCGCATTTGCTCCAACCCCTCAGACAGAGACAAACACCTACAGGATCTCTATCAAGCATTCTTACAACTACAATACCCACCTGCGGAAGTGAAGAAACAGATTGATAGAGCCAGAAGAGTTCCCAGAAGTCACCTACTACAGGACAGGCCTAACAAAGAAAATAACAGAACGCCACTAGCCGTCACCTTCAGCCCCCAACTAAAACCCCTCCAACGCATTATTAAGGATCTACAACCTATCCTGAAGGATGACCCAACACTCTCACAAATCTTGGGAGACAGGCCAGTCCTTGCCTACAGACAGCCCCCCAACCTGAAGCGAATACTCACCAGCAACCACATACCACACAACAGAACCACTAACCCAGGAACCTATCCTTGCAACAAAGCCTGTTGCCAACTGTGCCCACATATCTATTCAGGAGACACCATCACAGGGCCTAATAACATCAGCCACACTATCAGAGGCTCGTTCACCTGCACATCTACCAATGTGATATGCCATCATGTGCCAGCAATGCCCCTCTGCCATGTACATTGGTCAAACTGGACAGTCTCTACGTAAAAGAATAAATGACACAAATCAGATGTCAAGAATTATAACATTCACAAACCAGTCGGCAAACACTTCCATCTCTCTGGTCATGCGATTACAGACATGAAAGTTGCGATATTACAACAGAAAAACTTCAAATCCAGACTCCAGTGAGAGACTGCTGAATTGGAATTCATTTGCAAATTGGATACAATTAACTTAGGTTACCTTGCATAATTACTTAGCCACTCCCACTCTCTGTTCAAGCCTAACACCCACCCACCCCCTTCCTCATACATTCTTGTTAAACCCTGGATTTGTGCTGGAAATAGCCCACCTTGATTATCATACACATTGTAAGGAGAGTGATCACTTTAGATAAGCTATTACCAGCAGGAGAGTGGGGTGGGGGTAGAGAATAACACCCATTTTTTCATGGTTTGTGTGTATAAAAATCTTCTGTATTTTCCACAGTATGCATCCGATGAAGTGAGCTATAGCTCACTAAAGCTTATGCTCAAATAAACTGGTTAGTCTCTAAGGTGCCACAAGTGCTCCTTTTCTTTTCTGCTATGTCTCTGTTTGAATTTCACGAGTAGCCCTGACAGGCATTAGAATTTCTCCATCCTCCCACCCCACTAAACAGAAACCAAAAGTCATTCTCAAAGCCCCAGAAGTCAGCAGAGTAAGATGGGACTGAATTCCTTTCTTAACCAGTCAATGCCACTGTTATTCACAAGGGATCGCTATTGAGTCATATGACATGCCCTTTAACAGAGTGGAAAGGAAAACATCAAATTGAACCAACGTCTTTCATGTCACATTTTATAAACTACCATGACCACCTGTTGTTGTTTTTGTTTACATTTTATCCATTTCTTTCCTCGATTTATAACTTTTCTCCCACTTCAGTCCCCAAATAAGACTACATTAAATCAGCTCACTGGAACTCTTTTTAAAATCTACTCATTGTGTACAGTTCTGTGTTGCATGAATAACCTTCTCCCAACCTATTCCTTCAACTTACCATGAGGTGTGGAGAATAGGCTTAGTAGGATAATGACACTTGGTTGAACGCCATGTTCTATAAGAACTTTTACAGCTTCAATGACAGTATTGCCAGTGCCTGGGAGGAGGGGAAAAACAACACTGTCCTTATCAGAAAGACTTTACAAGTCATTTGGAACTAGATTAAGCAGAATTCACCTTCAGAGGGGATTAGCGTACCACCAATACTAGCGTGTAAGTAAACAGACGGAATATGTCCCTTTTCTGCTGCAGAACAGACCACTCACTCTGTTACCTATGGCAGCTTCGTGCCTTGATGACGCTACTGCAGCTAGGCACTAAAATACTGTATTAAGGGCAGGTTTCAGAGTAGCAGCCGTGTTAGTCTGTATTCGCAAAAAGAAAAGGAGGACTTGTGGCACCGTAGAGACTAACCAATTTAAATAAATGGGCTAGTCTCTACCGTGCCACACGTCCTCCTTTTCTTTTTGTATTAAGAGCCTGACCCAAAGTCCATTGACATCAATTGGCTCTTGGTTAGTCCCTCTGGCAAGAAATCACAGTTGAAACAGAAAATGACAATCGAGTTCCTTGTGAAGGAGGAGAATTAAGTATTAGAAAATTCGCTTCAGCCTGACGTAAACTCTACCAGCTTCTGAGGCTCTTTGGTGGCATTAATTAATTTAATTTTGAAATAATTTAATATAAACTGTTAAATAGAATTTTTAAATGTAAAATTAGCGTTAACTAGTATTTAATTAATTTGAAATTTTAAAGTGTTTAGCATGCAATAATAGTTCTAAATCTTTTCTACACTTACATACTAAAATTTATATATTAAAAAAGCAATTTACAGCAAACCCCAGTTCTCCCCCACCCCACATACACAGTGGGTCATACTCAAGCAATTTGCACCACATTTATTTTACCTCATTAGATATCGCCTCAACGTGTGTATTTTGAAAATAATGCCTCAACAAGTAATGCAGTTTGACTAAGGACTTGGCTACACTTGTGAGTTAGAGCACATTAAAGCAGCCCCGGGCGCCCAAGCTCCCTACCCATCCGCACTGGCAAGGCAGGTAGAGCGCTCTGACTCCACGGCTAGAGCGCTCCTGGTACTCCACCTTGGTGAAAAGATTAACGCTTGCTGCGTCTTGACTGAAATGTCTGGGCGTCAGTGTGAACGAGGTGTTGCATTACTGCGCTCTGATCAGCCTCTGGAAACGTCCCATAATCCCCTTAAGTCATGTGGCCACTCTTGTCATTGTTTTTGAATCACTACAGGAATGCAGGTATGCCCTTTGAAAGCTCTGTTTCTGACAGCCGGCTGCTTATCTGCTCCGAGACAAAGCAACCATTAGTGTGGAATGCTGAGAGAGAGAGGCGAGGGGGGGTCTGCTGCTGTCTGAACTTACAAGACAGCATGCTGACATGCTCTCTGCCCCGCCAAACCCCTCTCTCTCCCCCCACATACACACAACACACTCCCTGTCACACTCCACCCCACCCCACCCCCATTTGAAAAGCACACTGCAGTCACTTGCATGCTGGGATAGCTGCCCATAATGCACCACTCCCAATGCTGCTGCAAATGTGGCCATGCCAGTGCGCTTGAAGCTGTCAGTATGAACAGACTGCAGTGCTTTCCCTACTGCGCTCTCCAAAGGCTGGTTTAATTCAAAGCCGTCTACGTTGGCAAGTGTAGCCATGCCCTAAGGTTTATTCTAGCCGAACTTGATAAATTCTCTGCGGTGTTGCTCAAGGCAAGCTAAAATCCTACTAGTAGTCATTGACATTCAGGGAATTTTACACAGAACACCGATTAGTCAAACAATATTTAACACTAACAATTCTCTAAGACACTCACTCAGTATTGGGTACATGAGAAGAACTTTTCTCCTGTAAATGTCTGGTGGAAACTTGGCATAGTACACTTTGGCTCTCTGAGTCTCTTCGTCGCTCTGTATCAGGATTTTTCCTATTCGGATGGATCTGCAGCAATCCCGTAAGCCTTGTTCCATTGCCTCTCCTTCAGTTTAGTAACAAGAACAACAACAAAAACCCTGTTACACATCAAGGAAGAAAGCACCACAAGCTACTACTAGTAAAGGACATTCAATATTTAACTGTGGTAAGGAGATTATTAAACCAAATGGCTAAAATCACATTAGATTATTAACTGGAAGTTTTCACTCTGCTTAGATAATGAAGTTAGCCTGATCAGTATCACTCATTGGTCCCAAGCACTAACACAAGGCTGGTTTTCAAGGATATAGCAAATCTAAATC